GATTGATCAAATAAGCATTATAAGAATAACAGGATCTAAGTTGCTCATTGTTGGAGAAGATAAATACAAAGACAGAGAGGGGAAAAGCTAGAATAAACACTGTGGTGTTAGAGTGGAAATGATATTATTAATGTAATCCCACAGTTTTCAGTAGATAGTGGACAGATCCAGAAAGTTAGGAAGTCTCAGAATGATGGGGGTGGGCTGAAGACACATAAGCCAGCTGAAAAAGGTTATTACTGGCCAAATCAGGGATGATTTGTGTATCAAATAATGATAGTACAAGATTATCACCCATGAGTCTACACAGATACAGATAAACATAGACAACGAATAAACTGAAAATTTGGTGAGGAATACAATTTTACAAAGTCTCAAAGTATCTCCACACAACTTACTGATTTATTATAGAGAGAAACAAAACAATTTCACAGTAGAGAGGAATGATGAAAAAACAACAAACAAAACAGAAACAAAAACCCCAAAAAACAAAATCTCTTCAACCAAAGTGATCAAGATTATAATAGGACAAATTAATATTTTGTGCCACTGATAGGATCCGAAAACACTGCCATCACTTCTGTGGTATTCCTGCCAAAGATACATAACTTGAATCTGATCACAAAGCATAGCAGACAAACCCTAATTGCAGATGTTCCACAAAATAACGGCCTGTAGTCCTCAAATGTCAAGATCATGGAAGTCAAGGAAGGATTAAGGAACTGTTTGCAAATTGAAAGAGACTAAAGAAACATGATAACTAACGCATTCAAATAGTTGGGGGGGGGTGGAATTCCTTGCTCTGTACTTGCAACTTTTCTGTAAGTATGGGCATTAAAAAATTAAAATAAATAAGTGTAATCTCAAAGCCAATAATGACAATAAAATACAGGAAAATTACAGGCTAATTCCCCTTACGACCAAAGACATAAAATTTAGAAATTTTTAGCACATAAAAAAACTATCTTTTATATGTATCACTCACAAGATTTGCAGGATGGTCAGATATCAGAAAAACCTATCAGTGTTGTTACACTAAACTGTATCAAAAAGTATACTGAACTTAGAGAGTAAAAATAAAAATTTAATCACATTAGCAGATTAATAAAGAGCATGATACAAATTTAAAAAGCTATGCATAAGTTTTTTAAACATCTTTAGGCAAGCTAGAAAGGGGGAATATAAAAACACAATTAAAGATATTTGTTGGGGAAAAAAATTAAAAGCAAACCTAGTTAATGTACAACTTTAAATATGATTCCCTTTAAAATCAGGAACAAGGAATCAGGAACATTCTTAAAGTCTACGTTGCCACTTCTTTTCAAAAACATATTGCAGTTCCATGGGGCATCTGGGTGGCTCAATTGGTTAAACATCCAACTTCCTTCCGCTCAGGTTGATCACTGACCTGAAGTTCAAGCCCTGCTTCAGGCTTTGTGCTTACAGCTCAGAGCCTGGGGCCTGCTTCAGATTCTGTGTCTCCCTCTCTCTGCCCCTCCCCCGACTTGCCCTGTCTCTCTAAAATAAAATAAAAACATTAAAAAAATTTTTAAAAAACATATTGCAGTTCCAGCCACTGCAAAAAAGACTAAAATAAAAGGCATAAGAAGTGGAAAAGGAGAAAAAAAACCCTTGTTATGATGCTATAGAATTATAATAGCATGGCATTGGCAAAGAGATAGCAAATAAATCAATTTGGTCCTAGACATAAATTTATTTATATGAGTTATGGCTTTATAATAAGAGAACATGTTATCAATCAGTGTGGAAAGGATAAACTATGAGAAATTGATGCTAGGCAATCTGTATAGGAAAAAATATGAAAACTATATCCATACCTCAAATCATGATACAAAAAAAGATTAAAAACATAAATGTGAGGTGACTGGGTGACTCTGTTGAGCCTCTGACTCCTGATTTCAGCCCAGGTCAGGATCTCACAGTTCATGAAATCAAGCCCCACAAAGGGCTCTGCACTGACACCACAGAGCCTGCTTACGATTCTCTCTCCTCTCTGCCCCTTCCTGACTCAGTGCGTGCACTCTATCTCTTGCTCAAAATAAATAAACTTAAAAAAAAATGTGTATGTAAGTCAAAAATTTTAACACTTATTAATTTTAACTTATTAATTTTAACACTTATCAGGATTAGGGAGACTTTTTTTTAAAGCACTACATTGATGATTTCGACACATTAAAATGAAATCATCTGCATGACAAAAGAAAAAATGAAACGTGACATGCCATTTGCACGATATGACAATGGAGTAATATACACAGAACATATAAAGAAATCTTACAAATCATTAAAAAACACGTCTAACAGATAAAAAGCAAAATAATATGGCAAAAAAACCCCAAACAAAAGATACTTAACGTCACTAGTAAACAAGAGGTGCAAGTTAATAGTACAATAAACTATCACTACATACCCACTATACAGCTGGAAGGGACAAATTTTCATATGAAGTAGGAGGGTGGGTCAGTGAAAAAGAACTATAAAATGTTAGTGGATTGTAACTTAATACAAGTTCAAGAGCAATTTGGCAATGCCCCATGATTGCTCAATTTATTTCTGGCTAGAGAAACTCACATGTATAAGGAAGCACTATATACTGCAGGCAAATAGCAAAAAATTGGAAAGAACTGGTCTAACCATTAGGAAATGAGTAAACAGTTACTTTTTTTCCACATGAAAGAACAACTAAAATGAATAAATCAGATCTTTGTAGCTAAATGTCAAAAACAGGGTAAGTTGTAACACCAAGTTGCAAAAGGGTACAGTATGATACCCCATATATAAGTCATCGAAGCTTACAAAATACTACTATATATTGTTCATGTATATACACATACATGGTAAAAGTGTTAAATCATACAATGGAATGATACCCACAAACTTTAGACACCTCTGGGAAGGGTAGAACCTCTAAGGGCTTGATCCGGTCTGTAATGTTTTATATTTTACAATGGGGGTGTCTGGCTGACTCAGTTGGAAGCATTCAACTCTTGATCCCATGATAGAGAGTTTGAGCCCCATGTTGGCTGTAGAGATTGCTTAAAATAAATAAATAAACAAAAACTTTAAAAAATAAAATCTGAAAAAAAACGGTAACTCATTAAAGGTAAATGGCTAACATCTCTATAGAAAAGTGTTGGGAGAAGATATCTGCCTCAGACATAACCGACAGTGGGTGCTGGGTAATGATAATTTTCACATACGGAGGAAAATGCCAGTGTTAAAACACTCCAGAGGGGAAAGCAGTCAGTGAGGTGAGGGACCAGTAAGCAGGATGCTTAGTTGCGAGGTAATTTATACACTGAAATAAAATGCAAACCAAGGAGAAATGCCTTCAAGCACCAATTATATCATCTAACTGATGAAATAAATGCAAATTCCAATTTAACAGAATGAAAAAAAAACCAAAAAAACAATTAGCCTATCACATTCTGTCATACCACTACAAACCCACCATAGACGCTTCTAGATGGCAGTCCAGTGTTGATCAAATCCACATTTTTTTGAACTGAAGTACTTATCTCATTTTGGGGTTAATTTGTAGTACCTTCCCCCCAAACAATTAAATTTACTCACTCACTGAATAATTATTTGTTGAATCTCTGAATATAAACAACATTTTGCCAGAAGCTATGGAGGAATGAGAGGAGACTGAGCTCTTTTCTTCATATTCATTTAATACATATAACTATAATATAGTTACTGTTTTTCTGATCTTACAGATAAATTGAAATTCAGAAAACTTAAAATCGACCCCAAGTCACCATGCTGACATAGTATGAGCCAGAATTCAAATTCCATTTGTCAGACAACCTCAAAACCCATATCCTTTCCACTAAAAAATTAGCTCTCAAGCCCAGGGGAGATCTTAGGTCTAACTGTCCTGTTTTACTTTATGTGGGCTATACTCACAATATACCATGAGTTATGTTTTCCCACGAAACCACACAATAGAATCAGGCTAGAAGAATATTGTCGTAACTTTTGAACCAGTAACTCCTATTCTATGATTTAGAAGATAATGAAAGAAAACCTGAAAAAAAAATTTAACTGCTCCAAACCAAGAAGATTAAAATATTAGGGTGCCTGGGTGGCTCAGTCAGGTTAAGCCTCTGACTCTTGGTTTCGGGTCAGGTCATGATCTCAAGGTTCATGAGTTCGAGCCCTGCCCTGGTCAGGCTCTGCGCTGACAGTGCAGAGACTAATTGGGATATTCTCTCTCTCTCTCTCTCTGCCTCACCCCTGCTCTCTCTCAAAATAAATAAATAAGCAACAAAAAACAAATTTAAAAAATTAAGGAACAAAGTTAACAACTAAAATCCTCCACACCGGGCATTGTGCCAAGAACTTGACATACACTTCCAATATCAAATTACCACATTACCACACATAACATGGGCATCGTGAGCTTGTTTTACAGGTGAGAAAACATCTGTATATAAGTAACATGCTCATATAGCTAGTTATGTGAAACCAGTATCTAAACCCAGGTAGTCAGATTCCCAAGTATGGTTAATCACTAACAGTTTTATCAACTTTTTTATATCCAGTAGGAAATGTATTTTAGATTGTGATGCAATATGCACATACACACACAAAAGTAAAGCAACTTCTACAAAACGCTTTTACCTTAATAATCTGTAGCAAGAAAAAAACCTGTTTTTAAGATGCTGGTTTTGAGTCAAGAAATTAATCTCATGAATCACGATTGAAAAATGCACAGTGCTTAACTGCTTCAAAGATACTGTATTTATTACAACTATAGCAGGAAAAAAAACCTAAATGGAACTAAATGGTTGGCCACAGAGGTAAGAATTATGAATATAAAAAATTGTTATTCGGAGAAAATACAATATGCACATTGCTTAGATGATGCGTAATGCTTATATACATAGAAAATATATAAATATATAATAGCTGTCTTAAGGTAAAAAAAAGTATAAGCAATTACATTTTTATTTTTAATTTATAAAGGCTTTTATTTTAACTTACAAACTGGGTAGTTAAGACACCAGATAGTAGTCACTTTGCTTTTACTTTCTTGGCGCCAAAGCAATTGACCAATGTGTTCTTTCTTAAACACCTGTTCCAGATCATGGTGCAATGTTTTCCAATTACTTGCATAAAGCTAGCAAAATTTTTATGCCAAAATACACAGACAATAACACAAGTTAAAACAAAAAATCCTCTCCTAATATTTTTATAAGTGAAAAGCTGGAACCAAATAACTTACAATATTAAAAGAGAACAGAAGTTTGCAAACACATCCTAAAGCCACACACATTTGAGTGTTACAGAAATATGCCCCATCACCCAGTGCCTTTGACACCTCCTCTGGAGCTCAAATCTCTCTCAGACTTCAAGAGGAGGGAGTGGGGCCACCTGTCTCAGGTCTGGCCCTGGCCTCCTCATCTGCCAAAGCCTCACAGTACTGTGCTGGCCAGTCCTTGGGATCTTGATTATGGACTTTGGCCACAAACTTAAGAACTTTCATCTTGCTGGTTTCCAGGTTGGTTCGGGGACCCCACTGGAATTCATAGTCTACAGGATCAGTGTGGGGTATCCGCCGGTACTCCAGGTAACGCTGTCGCACAAATTCTTCGGTAATAAGTTTCTTTGGGTCCCCAAAAACTAAATGCTTCTTTGTGGGGTACACCCCCAAGCGACGCAGGAAGTCCCAGACCTCCGTTTCCTTGATGGTATTGCCCTTCATAAAGATGAGACCTAAAACAATCATCAGGAGGCCGGTGGTGGGCGTGCCCTGATCGCCTCTCACCTCAGCATCCTCCTCCACCGGTTCCAGAGTGTTGATCAGGATGTACGTATTGCTTTTGGGTTCCAGTTCCACCAGCTTGTACCCGAAGACATACTCGAGGCGCTCGGCAGCCAGTTTAAGGAGATCAGGGAAGATGTCCTTGTAGTCCCCGATAACGTGCTTCACTATGTCAGTGCGCTTGATCGGGATCTTCTTCTGGTCCTTAATCAGCAAGAACTGCACTAGCTCGGCCACCTTCAGCTCCAGCTGCTGCTGGGACCTGGGCCCCACCTCGGGGGAGGCCTCGGCCCGGCGGCCGCCCTGCGACGACGTGCCCCGGGCCTCCTGGGAGCCTCCCGCCCCGCGGGAGGTGCTCGGGGCCTCCTCCGCGGCGCCGCGGGCCCAGTCCCTCTCCCTCTCGGCCTGGGTGTTAGGGCGGCCCCGATTCCTCGGTTTCTGCAACATGTCCCCAGCGGCGGAACCCGTAACGGGCGGCGGCAGAGGCGGCGGCGGGACAGCAGCACGCAGAGGGAATTGTGGGTCGGCGTACGGCACGTCTGGGCGACCTTGGGCGGGGCCGGGGGGGGCGGGGCGCGTTGCATCACGGAGACTGCGCTTGCGTCGGCGGAGACTGCGTCTTGCGTCACAAGGGCTGCGCGTTGCGTCAGGGGCGTTTGCCTTGCCGCTGCGCGTCGGCCGAAGGAAGCGGGTGGTGTCTGTGATTCACCTCGAGTCACAGCAGTGGCTTTTGTTGTAATTAAAAGTGTTGTCCTTACCAAGCCCCCCAAATAGAGGACAGGAACCAAAACTCCTAAGCAAGTGTGCGGCTCGTTTTAGGACCACACGGACTCCGGCAAATACTGCAGAAGTATTACGAGTTTTAAAATCGCGAGTATTTTCAGATGGAGGGAACTCAACGAATGTGGGAGAAAAGTAAGGGGAGGAGGAAGGTAAGAGTGTGAAAGTGAAGTAAAAGCATTTCTCTCTACATACAGCGACGTTGAAAAAATAAAAGACCCAGATGACTCAATTTGCTTTGCCTTTGCCACCCCCACCCCTCGGTGCAGGTTCAAACCGGCCTAAACATTTACCACCAGTTACTTTTCTCTAATGCCCTGAAGAGTTTATTAAAAACGAATGTTTGATAAAGACAGGCTTACCTTGTAAACAGGACTCTTAACCATGTTTTTGCTATTGCAGTATTTATAATTATGCATTAAACTCCCCCTGCTAGACAACCAGGACAAACCAGCACATAAAGCACGTTACAATCAAGTGTTCTTGCTTATTTCTCTTGGAAAGCACTTGCTCACGTAAATTGCGTTGGGCCCACAACCACAATTTTAGCAGAAATGAGTAAGAATGCTACAAACAGAAACGTGCTCTCTCAAGAGATTCTCAGTTAATTTTGGGCATCACTGATCAAGAACTGCAATAATGCGAATCTCTTAAATTTCTTAATTTTTAATATATTAGCCTTAGGGCTCAAAGAAAAGAGAACCCAGGGGTATCATGTGCAACCCTAATAGCCAACATGAGTCATTTCATTAGCTCAAACCATCTGCAGTCTGCTGCCATTACTTCTACAGATCTTAGCAAATGTGTTCCTTTTCTATTTACTGACTTGCAGAGAAGAAACTGAATTTCCTGCTTTATCTTATTGAAAGCAGCGCCTAGAAAGTGGGAAAACTCTTCAAAGAACCAAATCAAACTGAGTTCCTCTTTAATGCAAATATATTCAATGGAAAGCAATTCAAAACACATTATTTGAATAATAGCATCAAAACACAACCTTATTAAAATTTCATTAAGTGTTAGTAACATAAAATTTTTGTTTGTAATTCAATATGAAAATGCAATCTGATAATGGCATTGGAACTGCAATACTAAATGTAAAATGATACTCCATGTTGTGATGCAAGTATGCTAAAATCTAGTGAGCTATGAGTAATAACTCTGTTCCACGCAAGATCTAACAATATATCCTCAAGCATCTGTCTTAATGACAGAAGCCTACTAAGAAAAACAAATATATCATCAAGGCACTCATTTTTTTTTTTTTTTTTACAATGAGAAAATTCATCTCCATTTTCCTTACAAATTTGGGATTCATGTTAAACCTCCTACAATAAAAAATTCTGCAAAAGTTCCCTCCAATAGAATCAGCTGTAACGTGAATTAAAAAAAAAAAAAAAGATGAAAGAGAGAAAGAAGGGAGGAAGAATCAGCAACCAACAGATAACAGAGAAGTGCAAAATGAGATGAAAGCCACTGTCAACAATTAGGCTGCATTTTCATTGTAAATCTGCAGTGTCCTTCAGCAGCATCTGTACTCAGCAGATTGTCATACTCAAAGTCAGAAAAGATTTCAGTTAAAACACCTCCCTACACTGTGTCCAGGAGAATGCACATGAGAAAAGACAGACATATAATAATACTAGAATGAAGTTTAGGTGTCACATGGAGAAGTCACCCAGACCCACACTCCATTTTAGATTGACATGGGAAGCCATGGATGTTTGAAGAAAAACTTGTGATGATAATGACACAAACATTAATAATAATACAAACAACAGCTAATGATTATTGCAAAGGGTCAGACTATTCTAAGTGGTGTACATATATTACTTCAGTCACTACAACAACCCTGTGAGGCCTGTGTGTTTATTATGTTTCTCTTCTCACAAAGGAAGAAACAGGCACAGAGAAAATATTAACTGCCCTATAGAAAGTAAGTGGCGGTTCTGAATTAAGACAGTGCACCTTCAGAGACTCCCCTTAACCATATGTTAAAGCAGACAGAACATAAACATAGTGTCCTTAAAAAAGCAAAGTTATGGAGCCATATGGACCTAGATTAGGAACCTCTGTGATATCAAGGCAGCTACCGGCACTCCTTTCTGTTTCCAAATCAATGAAATGAGATTACTGTAGTCTCCCCTGATCCACGTAGAACACATTCCAAGACCCTCAAAGGATGCCTAAAACTGCAGATAGTACTGAATCTTATATATACTATGTTTTCTCCTATACATACATATATATATACCTATGACAAAGTTGATAAATTAGTCACAGTAGGAGATGGAAAATAATAATAATAAAATAGCACAATTACAACAATATACTGTAATTAAAGTTATGTAAATGTAGTCTCCCTCAAAATGCCACCCTTCTGATATGGGATGATAAAATGCCTACGTGATAAGATGAAGTGAGGGGGATAGCGCGGGCATCGTGATGTAGCATTAGGCTATTGACCTTCTGAGATTATGTCAGAAAGAGGATCATCTGCTTGCAGACCACAGTTGACCAAGAGTAATTGAAACAGTGGGAAGTGAAACCACAGATAAGCGGGGGGGGACTACTATAATAATCCAGGCATTAGGGAACTGATGAGAGGTTTGCCAAGTACCTCGCATAAGGTGGGACAGGGTAGTTGATAATAGATTGCTTCTTTCCAGAGGGTGTATGTTAAGGAAAGTGTCTGAGGACTTTACAAAGCTGTATATAGAAAGATGTTTACTGCAGTGAAACACAAGTACATACAAAAATCAGAAAAAAGTATGGAAAAAACATATTAAGGTGCTATTAAAATTATTTTAAAAATGAAATTAATGTTGATTGTGTTGCTTGGGAGATAAATGAGAAATACATTCTCAATGATTTTGACTTCATGGTGACACCATGCCGTAGCAGTTATACACATTCAAATTTTCAGCAAATTCAGTGTGACTTGAATACGACATTTATGACTTTTTGTTCAGCCAGTGAAGTAATAAAGACAAGTGGTTTAAAAAGAAGAGCATTTTCAAATGGTTTATGGTAATTATCTTAATATTTTTATTACTAGACAAAAAAGTAAAAATTCTTTGAGGCAAAAATTAAGCTAGCTGAGATTTCAAATGCATTGAACAAAGAAATGCCTACTATCACTTGCTCTTTAGATGTCTGAGTAATTAATTGCTTTATTTCATCTCCTTGGTAGCAAAATGACTGCCAGCAATCTCTAATCATCTTTATTTACTAGGTTCTCCTCTTCACTCCCTGGTATTTCTTGCAGAAACAGACAAAGATTTAAAATTTTCTGCCAGCATCCTACTGCAAAAAGCAGGTAAGGGCTTTTGGGGGAGAAAAGCAATGATAAAAGCATGCAGCCATCATATATGAGCAGCTTCACTGCCTTTTCCAGTGAAAGAAAGTGGGACCGTATGCAGTATGTGAGCAAAGGAGTTGGAGCGGGGGAGGCAGATACTATTTTGGTGAGTAGACAGGAGGAAAACGATTCCAGATATTTTAATGGTTGTAATAAAATCCCTTGTGTCCATTCATAACAAAGATCCATACGGGTTAAATCACACAGCAGGACTACATGAAAACACTTTATCTCTCTTGAAAGGATACTTTTAAGTGGCAAGAGAGCTTTCCTTGACTGGTGGAAGAGGCGGGGGTGGGGGGTGGTGGTGGAGAGGTGCAGTTTGATGAGATAGCTCTTTCCAAGCATTGCAGCCATTTGGCCCAGAAGCACCTTCTCAGACTCTTTTCAAGAAATATAAACCTTCCAGTTACCTGGAGCCTTTTACTTATGAAAATCATTAAGGTCTGTTAAGTTATAAAATTGCAAATACACAAGGTCTCTCAGTGGTGGCCAAAAATTTTTTGTTTGCTTGTTTTTGCCACTTGTTCTGCATCTTTTCCCTTTAGGAACTGCTTCCCATCTCTAGGAGACCTTAGTAAGGCTCTACCTTTTTTTCCTGAGTGCACATGATTCAGGGCAGCCACAGAGACTGGTTCGGAAGTCTATTCAGCATCCTTTCAGAGGCTCACATAGGTTCTCTTTCCCTGAGCTAACAAGCTAAACAGTGATGGAAGCCTAGCCTCCTTTGCCTTTGCTTGGGCATAACCTGCTTCATGGTGAAGCCAGCTCAAAGGAGATCTAAGAGATGGAGAAATCCTAATGCTGCCAACTCCTGGATCCTGAGTTCAAGGTCAAACTAGGGGTAACTACTTACTAAAGCAAGTTAGATGTCCTTTCGCTTTATCTGCTTCCAGTTGGTTCTCCTCACTTGGAACTGAAAAAATTCTGGCCAAGCAATATCCAAACCCAATGAAGCAGGAGAAAAGAGGGTATTAGGGAATGAGACTTTGTTTCAAAAGGAGGGGGCTAGACAAAGTTAATATTACCTGTAAGGTTACTGAATGTAATCAGATGTTATCTGAATATAATTTGATATTTTTATTGTTTCTTGGCATATTCTGTGGTTGAGGGATGCACTTATGATTTTAATTGCTGGCAATAAGGCCAAAGTAAAAATCAGGAAAGACTGTTTTTCCATATAGAATGTACATGTGAGCTAATCTGGTGATTTACCTCTGCAGAAAGAAGTTTCAGATGACTTAGAACATATTTGAAAACATTTGCTATTCTAGAGTAGCTGTGTTCTATTTAACCCAAAGCATTTCCC